CTTGTTTGTGCACAAAGAGCAAGAAAGAGTTAAGGGCTAAACTGTCTTTAAATAATGAATTATAAAAGTCTTTAATCTTAGTATTCAGAGGTTACAGATCCCCATGCCACAAATACACAGTTGATTCACAGAGTGGCCATCAAAAACCCAGAAAGCAAATTACGTTTGACCAAAAGTATACATCAACAGCACATTAACAATATTTCATAGAGTGGGATAGAACAATTCTCTATGGAACCTAGCATGGTTTGCTAATGGAGCAGTCCCCCAAAGAGAAGACCATATCCAAAGGCTCTCTGTATCAGAGATACTTTGCATCAGTATTTCCAAAGTAAAAAAGTACTGAGCTGGCTACAAAATCATCTCCTGGAATATCTTTACTTTGAGAGGGGTTTCCATCCTTCCCTCATGAGTTCAGGTGAAAAGGAATCACCAAAGTTATCTCAGTAAGAAAATCCAAAATTCCCATCTTTATGATAGTTGTGGGTGATGGTGTGTTACATATCAATAAAGTTTATGCAGAAAATATGCCAACTTTATGAAACATGGATCTGATGATATGAACAAACCATTTTTTCTTTTGTAACTATCTATGGGGTATGTCTTTAGGTCTAAATGAAAATCTTGGCTTGATGGTGGTATCTGTGAAGGATTCCCTGCCCTACACAAGGAGAATCATTCAACCATGACTCTGAACTTGACTAGGGAGAAGGGGATAGAAGATATAGAATACAGTACTACTTTATTCCAAGAAATGTTGTATTATACTGGAGAATACATAAGGTCACAAATGTAACAGAAATTAAACAAACACCAGACCCGAAGACTATAAATATAAGGAAATGCCACATAGGTACACCAAAAAGCAAATACTATCATTAATTATTGATGATAGTATTTGTAGTAGTACTACTACTACTATTATTACTAGTAGTAGTAGTAAGAATAGTATACTATTATCATGATGAGGCATTGATGATTCACCTGGGTATAATGTAGAAAACATTAGCTAGAAAGAACCATGGGTAAACTTACTATTCTCTTTAAAAGGCAGTTTATATTCTAGGTTTATACGACATGAACTACATAATTCAAAACCACATGTAAGAAAAAAGTGCAGAAAGAAGTGAAGATTTATGCCTTTATTTCAGTTTTGTGTTGTCAATATCAATCTTAAGATGATGATGGAAAGGTTGCCTGTTTTAAAATGTGGAGATATGGGTTTTGGTAAAATATCCTTATAGCTTTAAAATACTATAGTGGCTAGCTCCTACCTATCTCCTCTTGGAATGCCTGCATCAACGTCAAGCCATTAGATTCATTCCTGACCTTTTAAGGATATTTTAATGGTGATAATGACAGGCCAGGGTAAGGGACAAACAGAATTGATCAGAAGACTGAGGGGACAAAAAAATAAGACAGAAAGAAAAAAAGAGTTTGCATTGTTTACACCATCCACTCTGGCAAATTTTACAGATGCTTTCTGTTTGCTCGGGATAGTTTATTGCTTATGTTATTTCTTTCCTTTCTTTTTTTTCCCATGTGCTTGCCTCTACCAAATTTGGCTGAAAATATTTTGTATGTGTCTGCACTGTAAACCCTCATATTTTTCTAGAGATTTAGTGTGGTGGAGAAGCTTCTTTTTTTTCCTTCCCCAAGGGTTAGACACATCAATATTCTAGCTACTCACTTTCGAGGCCAATGGAAAATGTGTTCCTAAGATTAAATAGACTTCAGTAACACATAAATTCAGTTTATACTGATGCAGTAAGTTACATGGTTACTCACATCCTGAATTTCTGATGAGTGGAATACACCTGTTGGATGACACATGTTACTGAATAGTCACTGACCTGCAATTTGAGGCAGAGAGACAGGAGGAAACCCTAACTTTAGGCTCTCTGTTGAGAGCCTAACTTGCACAGAGCATTCCTCATCTGTGGATTTGTGAGTGCAAAGGATCCAGTCTAGCCATAGAAAGCTGGCTCATAGAGGGTTCTTGAAATCTTAGAAAAAACTAGAGCAGTATATACAGGTATAGAGGGAAGGCCTGTTGCCCTGCAATACACCATCTCCCTCTACTCCCACTTTCCAAACATAGCACTTAAAAAAATTATCCAGACTATTAACGTATAATTCCTCCCTTATCAGACTTCATAAGTTCTCACTTAGGAAAAAATCTTCCATTTCTGCCAATAAACCTTTAAAAATTATAAACTTTTAAATCCAGTGTTACATTTGGTTTAAGGAGGTTTAACATATTTACCCAGTATGGGTTCGCCGAAGTCACACTGCACTTCTAAGTAGTCAGAGGATTATGTTTTCCTTTCACTTCAGATACAGAATTGCATGTAACACAGCATACACCTAATCATGAGTATAAACAATGTGGCATCGATTTGGTGTGCAAATTACCATCCTAAATTTGAGTCAAGTAAAGAAAGTGTCCCTTCTCCCCCAACATAATAGTTCCTCCAAGAAACCTAGCCAAATCTGTGAAATGTCTCTCTAGTAAACCAAATTGCCCTTTGGCTTACAGATATGCTGAAGAATATTATGAAACACACTAATGAGATTTTATGATCAATTGTTACATTTCAGAAAATATGATGAAAGTATACTCAGAAGAAAAATACTCCTATATACAATGATTACAACTATTTATCTGAATGTTTTTAACATTAACATATTAAAAAGTCCTGATGGGCCTGAAATATTGATGGACTAAATGTTATGATGTCTGGGGTTTGCTTCCAAATAACGGTGGTAGCACAGGAAAATGATAGATCATGAGTTAATTATTGTGCAGGCTGGGTGATCAGTACATTAGAGTTCAATACAGACAGATTAATGTATTAAAAATTTTTCATAACAAACATTTTAAAAATATATACTGATTTGAACTTTCATTTGTTTACTCAATATTTATTGGTTGATTCATTTACTCTTTATATGCAAGATATTGTGGAAATGTAATAAGTGGAAAAAAAAAGACAAAAAACAAAACAATGCTCTTATTGGACATCTGGGTTAAGTAAGGTATTCCTCTTCATGAACAGTATATGTTGATTTAAAATGATATTTATAAAAACTGTAATTACATGTAGAATTCTTAGGTTAAATTTTGAAAGCAGGACACAAAATTATATAGAAAGTATGATTACAGTGTGTTTTAAAAAAATATGTCCTCAGGGGAAAATGAGAGGAAGGAAATAAATATATCAAATGGTTATTAATGATTGGATTTAAATTATAGAAATAATTACTTTAATTTTTCTTCATTTTACTCTTATGTGTTTTTCCAAATTATTTTTAATGAGCATGTATCATTTTAAAATGAAAATAAATATTTATTCATTAGTGGGTAAGATGCGCTCTCCTTTCCCAAGGAGCTTTTCATCTACGAAAACAGAGAAACTGCAAACACACAGCACTGCCCTGATAGTTTAAATCTTCGTACCTAGAAGGGAAGTACACCCACAGGAAAAGAAACGTCAGTACAGATTTTATCTGATCACAGAAACATAAAGGGCTTTCTGTGTGTTGGACAGAATCAGGGGAGGGCCTGGCTTCCCTGCAAGCCAGAAAGAGTGTGAAATTCAGGCCACTTTGTGATGAGATCATTTTGCAAAGAATGCAATGGCAGCCACAAATTAAAGTTACCAAATAAGCCTGTTCCCTGAACTGCTGACGCTCCCACTGATAGGAGTTTCTTTTTGGGCAGTGTAACAAATAAAGCCTGGGAGTGCGGAGGGAGGGCGAGTTACAACTCTAAAGGCTTGTGGCCTTCGCTGGTGAGATGGATGTGTTCAGAAACAGGGAGATGTGCAACAGAATTAGAGACAAAAATACAGTGACCACTATGGGCTATGTGCAATGGCTATGGAAAGTCCCTGTTAGAAAGCAAACTTTATTACCCCAAGAGTTTATTTTCTTCATTTTATGCACATTCATATAAAGTGAAGTCAAGAGTATAGCTTTTAAAGGTTTGCATGAGTATGATGTTCATGACTGAACAGGCCAGGCTGGAGCCAGGCAGAATCCTGAGAGGCCAGGCAGGGCAGGGCGCGCCGGCCCGCTCCTCTCTCCAGCCCGCTCACCAGTGCATCTCCGTGCAGGCCGGCCTCTAGCCAGCGCAGCTCTTTCGGCCTCTGTCTGACTACAGGACGATCTACCAGCCAACACACCCACAGTCCCGACGACCTGTACCCTCCCTTCCAGCCACTGACATCTCAAGAATTCTAGAAGGCCATGATGCCAACCTTTTTAAAACTTCACAAATTCTCACTAAGGATACAGAGACCTCAAAGTTTCAAACTTAGTCTCACTTGTGGCCCTGGTCTTGGTCCTTTTACTTACAAGGCTGGTAAAGGCAGGGCCAGGGGGTTTCATGATCCTAAAGAACATGTTCCCTGCTGCTTGTCCGTACGCATAAGAGCAGGCTTAGCTGAGTTTAAAAGTGATATAAGTGAAGCAAGCACGTTCCACATTCGCAGCACATCACAGAATAATAGGCATTTCAAAGCATCACAAAATACTGTTAGTGGGTTTTTTTTTTTGTTTGCTTAATGCCAAAGCATCTAGTAATGTTCCACATGGGAAACATCAGCGCCAGCTTCACCATATGACCTCTCTTGTCCACACAGGTGAAGCCTTTGGAAAACATACTGTGATCTTTGGAGAGTCTTCCAAACAAATCCTTTGACTACTTCCACCTCAGTGTGGCAAAGTCATTGTAAAACATTTGTCGAAATCTGTGATGACAAGTTCTTGGGATCATAGTTTCTCACGATTCTAAATGCTGGTATTTCAAATGAAGAAATAGGGTATGAAATATATACCCTTTACCAAGGTCAAAATACATTCTGCTCAAATTTTGTACTTGAGGAAGTGGACTTGCCACGCCTTTAGGTCTGATTCTTTCCGAGACTGGGAGAAATATACTAGACTTCTTTTCACAATATTTTGAACTGCCGTTTAGAAATAATGGAATAACTTACCAGGCAGCAATGTCTTGCGAGGAATATTCAGTTAGTGATGGTGAAACATCCTGAAATGAAAAGAGAACCATAAATGACAGGTATTTAATAAAAATATGACAACATGGCGATCACTGAAAAGAACCCATTTACTTCTCACTTGGGGACACCGACTTGCTGATACTATAACAAGTAAAGGATGCTTCCTTTTGAGAATAAAAATATAACTGTGCACGAGAAAGTGGCTTTTGAACTGCCTGCATGTTTAACTTTAAGGGCTCTAACTGGTCGTGACTGACTTGCTGCCTGCTTCTGCAATTCACTGTGACTTGTGTTGAGAAAGTTATGTTTTATGGTTAATTATCCATGGTCTGTTTAAAAAAATAAATCAAACCATTGTGAACCACCAGGATTTGCAGCTCCATTTGAACTTCACTGTACTTTTGGTTAAACGTTTTGTAAATAAAAACAGACTGGTTTTTCCTTGTTTTTGGTTGTTTGTTATTTGTGTTCTGGATGTAAATATTGTGGCATTGGTTGGACAACAAGCTATGGATTATTTACCCCTCGTTTCATGAGTTGTGAGTTACTGGTCTTATCCCCCTTCATGAGTTTAAGTAAATGTACAGTATTATATTCCTAGTCCTGTGACACAAATGGAATGAGTGAACTGAAACCTTTTGAAACCAAAACCTTTTATGCTAAGTCACAGAGCAACAAAACAAGCCCCAAATTAACATTTAAAAAGCTTCTACTGTAGAGCAACAAAATCCCCAAATATTATATAATCTGCATTTAAAAAATTGCTTGCCTACCAAGCAGCAGTCTGTCAATAATTCCACATGCTTGTCTTTTCACTGCTTTATAATTTAGAAGCCATAGGTGGTTTTTACCGGAGATCACCTCCCACCCCCAATATCACCACCAGAATGAAACCTTGACAATAACCAGCATAAGTAATTTAAGTCAAAATTGATTTAGAAAAATCAGGAATTATTGTAGCTAAAAGTAATAAAACACAGCATAAAAGAAGAACTCCATATGAAATTTGTCTATAGTCATAATCCTAGGACCTATATAAATAAAATAAGTCTAAAATATAAGTGACCAGAGGAAAATGAGAAAAGCCAAGATTCAAAGGACCCTGTGGCAGCATACAAAGGGAATATATTTGAAACCCAGAATCATAAGTACCTAATACATTTGCACATGAAACTTAATGAGGATCACCAAAGTAGCTTGCCAAAAATTATGTTTTTTAAATGATCCCATGGTCTATGCAGCACTGAGGACCTCTAGGAAAAATATAAAATTGCCTTCTGCAATTTGCTACTTTTATAAAGACAGAGACAGGATAATAAGAGTTTCTTATAAAACGTTCTGCCCATTTCTGAAGTTTGAAGAGCTCTATATTCTCTTTCATCTTGCCCTTGCATTACTCACATGGCTTACTGCTTACCTGCATAAGCACTAGGAGGGAATGGACACAGCAGTTTCCCTCACCAGCTCACCAAAATATGGTAAAATATCTGTGAAGCAGCTACTATGTGCCAGGCACAACTGGAGCGATTCTGTTGGAGAGGGTAAGTCAGTGACTGAGGTTCTTGTTGCAACATTTAAAAGTATCTATTACTACTGCCAACAGCAACTCCAAGCAAGGTTGAAATAGTTGTGAAGGACTTTTGAAAAATTGGAAAATATTTAAAACTCTCCCTAGCTTCTTGCGTGCCCAGGAAATAGAAAGTTTAGGCCTGCCAGTCCTTCCTAAGCCTGGATCCCAAATTGCAAAAGAAAAACCACAAGTAGCCTATATGCTCCCTGAGCCATGGTTACAACTGAAAATGAGGGCTGAAATAAATTAGTTGGCATCCATTGGATTGTGAAAGGTCAACTCTGTCCTAAGTATGGCTCAGAGAGTATAAAAATCCACCAAGATGAAAACGGAAGCTATTCTGACAAACTGAGGCAGAAAAAAAAAATTCAGAAATGTTTATCAAAGACACTTTCCTCTATTTCTTTCACAACCAGATGCCTCCACCTATTTGAAAATCAGGGTACTCTAAATGACTTGCTATGTACAGAACTACACACCAAAAGTAAGTGCTTGGTTACAGATGATTAATCATGTTAAAATTATATTATAAAGAATATAATTTATTACATGGTTTAGAATTCATTTTGATAATCAGAAACACACATACAAAACTGCATACTGGAATACAAACTAAGCTATAACCCATGTAGAGGGATACTTAAAAAATATATGCCAGTGAATATGATTTTCTGGTTCAAGAGTAGAACACTATGACCAATTTTCATTATTTTCCCACAAACAAATTTCTCTGAGATACAGATTATTTTAAGGAAGAAAAGCAGAAAGAAAATGTATTTATAAAGTACTTAAAGGATATACTTGGTAGTAATTATTTATTGAAGACAACAGATGATGTCTCCATGTCATCAGAAATACAGAGACACCATAATCCCAATGATCTTGATTATGCCGCTGTTAACAACAGAGAGCCACACGTTCAGACAACAGAGCCTGAAACCCCTGACAAAACTCTCCTGGCTTCGATTTTTATCTTCATGCACCATATTTTTCCATACAAAAGGCATCTTACATTCTAACACATAAGAGGAAGTTAAACAAACTAGGAAAGAACCTGATTGCTTTTTTTAAAAAAAAGGAAAGGAAAAGTCACCTCTCACTTTGAGTAAAATCAAGCAAGCCAATTTCATAGGCCCTTACCAGCCAGAAACCAAGCATGACCTCCAGGAATGCTGCCGGCCCAAGCGCATGGAGGGGAGGCGGCCCGCCGCTCCTGCTCAGAGCCGCCCTCTCCTGCGGACTCCTAACGGCACTGAGAGCGCTCCCAGCCACCAGCACCGCTCACACCCTTCTAACTTTCTTCCAGCAGATACCTAGTCATGCCTAGCGCTGTGCCCTCTATCATTCTGTATCCATTTGGTAACCATTTATAGGCAGATGCTAAAACGGAAGAACAAAACAAATCCAAAAATCCCTCCAACCTCCCCGATCAGAAAAATGCTTGGTTCCCAGAGGACGTCAGTCAGTTATGTGAAACAAAATATTGTAACTGGGAAGGAAGACTGATCAATCTCACACAAATCTCTCTGTGCTTCTAGTTAAGCTGGGAGGGGAATCGCTCCAATGAAAAAGTTGGGGGTGTAGGAAAGGAGTGAAGGGCTACAAAGGGAGAGAGAGAGAAAAAAACATTTATTATACGTTTGGGACTTAAAGGCAGTACAATGAACCAAATGGTGTTCTGGGGAATAGTGTGACAAAAAGTTCTAAATGAGAAATCCAGAAGCTACAGCTTCTTCAGTGCAACTACTGTTCAGGGGATGAAGTCTATAGGAAGTTTGAATTAAGTGTCTCTGCTGTAGCATCTAGATGTTTTCTCTTTCATTATGACTTTGGGTTTGAATATACTTTGTCATGAGGAAAAAACAAAACAAAATATTAGGCTCTGTACAGCCCCCAAAGTAAAAAGCAAAAGACAGGGTTTATATAACCGGCTTTTTACATAAATATTGCATCAGGATACATTTCAAATGAAAACACACGCACACAGCTGTCTTCCTATGCTCTTTCTATTTCAAAATTCATTTCATACTTTAAATGTTGTTGATTTTTCATAAAATCAGTAAAAACCAAGTCAGCATTAAACACCTCATAATAATTTTAGTCTTATTATGACCTGGAAAAGGCGCCATGCCACTGAGGGTCACACAACCCTGTTCTGAGCCAGTTAGGCACTGGCAATTATGGGATGTTTTGCTGCAGCCTAGGGCAACTAGAAATGGCCATGGATATTAACGAACTCCCTTTCCACCAGTCTGAGAAAAGGGGGAAAAAAACCTGTAAGTTTCCCCATCTGTTATTTCCTTTTTGGCTGTGGAAAAGTAAAATTATGCAAGAGCATTTGAATGTAAAGGCTGTGTGTGCTTTTTCCCTTTTTGTCTCTGTGTACCGGTTATGTGGTGTTGCGTAACTGAGTACAGAGTAGGCGGTTAGAGTTTACTATTGATTTACACTATGCCATCTAATGAATTCAGAACACTGAAAAGAAAGGAGTGGGAGGGGGAGGGAGGAAAAAAGAGAAAGAGAGGAGCAGGCAGAGAAAAAAGGGGGAACAGCGGGGCGAGAGAAAGAGCTTATTTAGAGAAACAGTTCTAATGCCTGGAACAGTTTCATTCCTTTCCTTTAGCTCTGATTTTTGGTTATTGTTCAGGCCTCAGAAAAATGGGCTTGAGTTAGTGACCCCAATATTCCAATCTTATATCTAGTGAGGATTACTGGCAGGTGAATGTCTGAAAGTACTAATGTGTCAAATTACTTGATAGCAATTCCACTAAACTGTCAGACTTCTCCATACACACCTATTTATCATTCTCTCTATGCATTTATAAATCTGCACCTATGAGAGCCAATGTTATGGTCCAACTAGTTTACCAAGTGACAATTATTATTTTGCAAGGCACACATCAGGACAAAGAGCAATATGTTCTATTTTACCCATTTCCTTTAAAAATGCACAAAGGATACATTTAGAAGTCTCTGAATAGGTCACTATTTTAGCTTGGAAGAAGAAATGTCAGAAATTATTTGGTTAAACAGAACAGCCCGATATGAGATAATGAAAGAGAAATGGGCAAAAAGAGGAAAGATTCTAAACTGATGAACAATACTTGTAAAGGAAATTTAAATAACTTCTTAAATTATGCCTATGGAGAACACTTGGATTTTAACTTTGATCTGGATGATTATAGACATTCCCAGATCTCCGAGGCTGCTCGGTCTTCCTATGCCATACAACCAGTTCCCACAGCTCAGGCCAGAAAGTAAGGGTGACGCTGACTGCGCTGCCGGGCACAGGACCTTCCTGTACCTGAGTGCCCTCCTATGGCTGAAAACAACCACTGAGGCGAGGAAGAGGAACAGAAGTTCCCCTTATTAGCAGCCAGCTAGACAGCAAGACAGGTAGCTTGTTTCCTTCGGGATGTAGGTTTGTAAATGGTGACTGGGAAAAATCACAGGTCATTC